TTTGAATTTGTACCAATTGAGGTGACCTAGCCGGTGGCCATTTCCAAAAATCGCCACTAATTACACATGCTAGCTTTGCTTGAGAAGGTATCCCTGTATCTCTTAAAATAGAATCACCATAAGTCTCTAATAATGGCCCACAGGGGTGCCAATGATCATGCCAAACATAAGTATCCATGCCATTGCCCGGGACATGCTTAATAAGCTTCCTAGCTACCTGTCTCAATTTGAGGATTTTCCTCCACCCCCAAGATGCATTAGCTGGTATATTAACAGTCCAAAAGCTTCTGCCCTTTAGTAAGTATTCATGGGTCCAAGCTACCCAAATAGATCCTGCTCTTGTAAACAGCATCCAGATGAATTTTAATATACAAACTTGGTTCCATAACATCAGATTTTTGAGCCCCAAGCCACCCTCATGTATAGGAGAACATACAGTTTCCCAATCTACTTTGGTCCCTTTAGCACTATGCGTGTCATTGTTCCACAAAAAGGCATTGCAGATTCTCTCCACTTCCCTTATGACCCCCTTTGGCAAAATAAAGACAGAGCACCAAAAATTAGTGATGCCTTGAACAACCAAAGATATCAGTTGTAATCTTCCCGCAAAAGAGAGATGTTTTGCAGCCCATGAGGTCATTCTCCCAGTTATTTTAGAGATCAAAGGTTGAAGATCATGCTTGGTCAATTTCCCTGTAATTAGTGGGACTCCTAGATACCTCACTGGCAAGGAGCCAACCTTGAAACCAAACTTCTCAGTAAGCTGCTTAATGTGTGTTTCAGATAATCTGCAGAAAAATAATTCTGATTTGGCATAGTTAACAAGTAACCCAGAAACTTCGTAAAATTGCCTTAAAACAGCATCATTCACATCAAGTGAAGTCAAACTACCATCAGAAAAAAATTATTAAATCATCTGCAAAACACAGATGTGTAAGTTGCACCTTTGCACATTTAGGATGGTAGGCAATTTTTCCTTCTTCTGCTGCCTTATTTAATAACCTTGAAAGAATTTCCATACAAATCACAAAGAGGTAGGGTGATAAAGGATCCCCCTATCTGATACCCTTCTTACCAAGAAAGTAGCCACACAAGTTGCCATTGAAAACAACTGAGAACATAGGTGTGGTCACACAAGCAGAAAGCCAATTTATAAATTTGTTAGGGAACCCCAAGGATAACAAAATCTGAAAAATAAAATCGCATGAGACTGAATCAAATGCTTTCATCAAATCAATCTTCAAGGCACATCTAGTGCTTAAGCAGCTCTTATGATAGTGCTTTACAATTTCCTGGGCCAAAAGAACATTTTCAACCATTAGTCTGCCTTCCACAAAAGCGCATTGGCTTTTGCTAATAAAGAGGGGTAGACATTTCTTGAGTCTTTCAGCCAAAATCTTTGTGATGAATTTATAAAGTAAATTGCAACAAGAGATTGGCCTGAACTCAGACATTTTAGCAGGATTTGAGACCTTTGGAACCAAGGTTATCAACGTAGAGTTCAATTCCTTTAGCATTTTCCCAGTTGTAAAAAATTCCTGGATGGCTTTTATCACCAAATCACCTACAATTGCCCAAGAGGCCTTAAAAAATTCTGCTGTGTATCCATCAGGCCCAGGTGCCTTATTTCCAGGGCTATTGAACACAATAGCCTTAATTTCTGTTGCAGTAACCGGTTGTGTAAGCAAAGTACATAGATCCGCTGGCAATTGGAATTACAACAAGTCTTTGAGCCATTGACTATCCACCTTTCTGCAATTCACATCTTGTGTTCCCAACAAATTTTTGTAGAATTGCACAGCTTCAGCCTCCATGTCAGATAAGGCTGTAAGTTTCCTTCCATCTATTGTAGTGAGCTCAGTAATTGTATTTTTCATCCTCTTTATTTTTACCACTTTATGAAAATATGCGGTATTGCTATCGCCTTCTTGTAGCCATTTAACCCTTGATTTCTGCCTAAAGAAAGACTCCTCAGCAAGTTACAAAGCTGCTACTTTATTGGCCTACTCATGCTCAACTTGTATTAAATCTTCACGTGGGTTAGCTAATAGATCAAGTTGCAGCATGTGTAACTTATCTCTTTCCTGTTGTAATCTGCTCTGTATGTCCCCATAGTGATTAGTATTCAACTTTTTCAAAGCTGGCTTTAGGACCTTGAGCTTTGTACAAAGTTGGTACATGGCACAACCTTTTATCTGTGTAGAGTCCCAAATTTGTTTAACTGTTGTCAAGAAGGCCTCATTCTTGGTCCAGAGGGCAAAAAACTTAAATGGCTTCCTTCTGTTGCTAACCATAGGCAAAGTAATTTCAACTAAACGAGCACAATGGTCTGAGCACCCAGGCGGCAAAAAAGATGCTTTAGTGGATGGAAAATTATCTAGCCAAACTTCATTCACCATTAGTCTGTCCAACTTTTTAGAAATCATGATGTTTGCCCAAGTAAAATAAGAACCATTTGAAGGAAGATCATGCAGCTCTGCTTCATTGAGTTGGTTCTGAAAAAATTTAGAGCTCTTTGTAAGAGTGAGTGATTGTCCCCAATCTGACCTCTCATCTATTGACCGAATCTCATTAAAATCTCCCCCACCAGCCAAGGCACTTTAGGGAGAGCTTTACTAATAAGAACCAACTCTTTCCAGAGTTTTTGCCTAACATTCTCATGGTATCAGTTAGCATAGATCACACTTAGGAAGAAATACTTGCCAGTAATACTATCAAAAGTATGACAATGCATAGCTTGGGAAGTGACACTTGATAGAGAATCAATATAACTTTCAAATATTAAAAGATTAATAAAAAAAAAAAACTAAGCAATGATTGTAGTATATGAAAAGAATTTATTTTTATAAATCTCCTTTGTATTTGTTTGATGATAAGGTATACACCAAAAAATTTTGAAATTGACATATTTCTTTGCTTTAAGGAATCTTGTATTCCACGCAATGTCTAGCTGAAACACCCGCATAGCCAAAATGTAAGCATTAAGACTTAAGTGAGAGACCATTAATTTGGAGCGTTGGCCACGGTCTTTGATTTTAGGTTGCTGTTATTGTCAATTCAATATCGTGGCAGGAGTAAAAATGTTGTATTTGATTGAATGATGTTTAGGCAGATCACCTAAACTGGGTCGTTGGAACTAGGAAAATCATGGAATTTTGAATGAAACAGTGATGCTGACGGTGGCAGCGATGGCTGCCATTGTTGATGCTTACGGTTTTAGGCTGCCTTCATAAGAGAAGGGATTCGTCACTCTTTGTAATTAAGCAACAAAGTATCCATTCAGTTTTTATGTGGGATTCTAATTTTACTTTGTTCGAATGATAGTTATAGATCAAGTCAGTCTACAACATACATATTAATTATTGAAATTATCAACAAAATTGAAGGTAATTCTAACAAGGTTTACAAAAGGATTGTGTTCTACAACTGGCAATTAAACGTAGGCAAGGTAATATCCAGTGAATCTAGCCAAAGATATGAAACTACGCATGCAAGAAGTTAGAGGCAAGAAAAATAATGGGGGACAAGCATATCTTTTAACAATTACTTTCAAGTTGAAGGAAAGGACAACAAAACAATCAATAATTCGCCCTTTATTTTTCCAAATAATGAAAACAAAAAAAAAAACCTTTCATTGTCATATAGAGAGGGGGAAAACTTCAAATTTTTAAAGAAGAGACGGGTAAATGCCCAAAAAAAAAAAAAAAACAAAAAGAGGAGAAAGTTGGGTGCTTTGCAATACCCAGCCAGCCTTTAATTAAGGTTTTGGTGCCATCTGTGGCTTTGTTTATTCTTTGATGAGTTTTCCTTTTTCTATAGTCCCACCGCCCAATCAAACCCTAATCAAACAAGCAACCTTACTACCAGTACCGGACAATCACTCTCCACCAGCTCCAAAACCCCAATTCTAAACTTAATTTCCATGTGTCACGTGGAGCATTAATTCCAGTCAACGTGTCACGCCTTATCATCAAACACGTGGGGCTGCTTATGACATCCCACTCCCTAATTTCAGTCCATTATTGATTCATCAAGAATTTATAAAATATTGTTGATAATAATAGCCTTCATATGAGTTCAATTTTTCAACCTTTTTTGATTGTCTTTTGCCATAAGAAACCTCCCTGTTCCATTTATTTCACGTTTTCTCTTTATTTTGTGTGCCTAAATCATTCAATAATCTTTCTCTAATTCACAAAATTTATCTCCAATTAGATGACAAAAAATGTTATTTAGACCCTCTTTAATGCACTCTTTAGGGTTTCATTTAATTACTGCCCTTTATATGAGGCCAAAAAAAATAAAAAAAAAAACGACTTTATAACTTTAAAGCTGTACTTACTTTTGTGATTTTGCTCTTCACTCTTTTAAAGGTTTTAATTCATATTGGTCAAGAGGAATCCGCATGTGCCTCCAAGAAATTAAGTTTCCAGCTCTTTGTAAGAGGGAAATGAAACCCAATTTTATATGCGTAAATGATTTATATACATTTCTTGTTTATATAATTAAATTTGATTTTCCCTTAATATATTTTATTATAAGTTTTTTTAATTTGTGCTTTTATGGTATATTTATTATGCCCTTTTAGCATTAATTTATATGAAAAATTATGAAAATAAATTTTATTTTCAATACCAATGTTATGTAAAACATTTTAATTTGATGGTTGATAAAATTAAGGTTATCAACTTTTATATTTTTTTAAATAAATTAATAATAAAAATGTATTAACATATGACATGAGAAAATTCATTTTCTTTTATTTCTAATATATTTCCTCCTTGGACCCATCTCTTTTTCACTATAAAAGTATAAATCCATACATGCATCACCTGCCATAACAACAAGTGTATCCTCCTTTCTCTTCACTCCCCATCATATCCATTCCAAACTACAAATTATAGCTTATAAAGATCATATCTGCACTTTGAAATATATAGTCCTCCTTTGCATCAAAAACCTCGTCAACTTAACCTTATTTTGAATTTGAAATATTAGCCAAAAGAAAAAAGCCCTGCAGCTAGCCTTCAGAAAGGAACATAAAATGGGAGTTCAAGGCACTCTGGAGTACTTCTCTGAACTACTTAGCAGTGTCAAGAAGAAGAAGAAAAAGAAGCAAATGACAACCGTTGCGCTCAAAATCAGGATGGACTGTGATGGCTGTGCTCGTAAGGTCAAGAAAGTTCTTTCCGGCGTCAAAGGTGTCATATTTCTTCTTCTTAATCATCTAAACTTTTTTCCTTTACAAATCAGAATGACATAGAGCTGAATCTCAATCCATCATTACATCAAAGTTATTGTTCCTGCACAATTACAATATCTAGTTGCATATTATTATATATTAAGGTTGTTACATAACTTAAAGTTGAGATTTATTTTTAATTTGTCTAAATTTTGTAGGAGCTAAATCGGTGGATGTGGACTTGAAGCAGCAGAAAGCGACAGTAACGGGGTTTGTGGAGGCGAAGAAAGTGCTGGCGACGGCACAGACAACAAAGAAGAAGGTGGAGCTGTGGCCGTACGTTCCATACAGCTTGGTAGCGAATCCTTACGTTTCTCAAGCTTACGACAAGAAAGCGCCTCCCAATCATGTTAGGAAAGTTCCGGTCACTGCCACCATCATGGAGACCACCATGGACGACCACTACACTACCATGTTCAGCGACGAGAACCCTAATGCCTGCTCCATCATGTAAATTGAAAAAACAAATTAAAATAGATGTATGTTGTAAATTAAACTTTTTATAACGGGATTGACCCTTGCAGGTTGTGTGTTAAGTTTTCCTTCCGTTTGTGGTTGGTGTTATTTGCTAGCTTTTTTATAACGGGATTGACCCTTACTATCATCTAAATTCATGTGTGATTGCATTAGACTTGATCACTTATGTAATGGAAGAGAAATAATATCTTCAATTAAATTGAAAGATCATGCACTTTACCAAGTTACAAGTTTAAATGCTCGGAATTGCTAGATGTTAACATATATGGCATTACAGATTTCTCGTCTAAATGTGCATGGGTATAGTTGTGTTAGATGAGACTAAAAGGGCTTGAAGAACAAGGTTTATGGGTGCGGAGTCCAGCACACTTTACATATCCAAATGCTGAGGGGCAGCTAAGGGGTTTTTTTTTTTAACAACAAAAAGTAATATTTATTAAAAAACAACTTATAAGAGATACCCAAACTCATAAATATTTTAATTTAAAAAATATAAAATTACAAAAGCAACCCTCCCTAATATATTAATATAAGAGCACCTCCAAATTGTTAAAAATTTCAACTTGCACTTTGTTGGCACATAACACAGAATAAAATACAGAAACTCTGATTTTGGGTGCTTACCGTAAAGTGTGGACACCACACCCATGTCGGGTTTCTATCCTTCTGTAATTTCTTTAATGGTAAAATGGCACATCTGGTCCTCAAAATTTTGTATAATGAGCATTTAGATCCCAAAACTCAAGATTCATTCATTTAGATCCACGAGATAACACCTTCCTTCAAGCAATTTGGGCCCTCAACTTTAAAAATATGTTCATTAAACCCAAAAACTCCTTTTCTTATGCATTCACGTCTTTTTCTTTTCTACCACCCTTATCTCAAACATTCCATTGGGTCTCTCATCCAATCTGTAAGTAGAATTGCCCAACCCTTTTTTTTAGCTTTTATCCATTCCCAAGATCTAATCTGGATAGGTTCAAACACCCTTGCAACCTCAGGTTCTTTCTCCTTGAGTATCCGATTGTTTTTAGACAACCATATGAACCAAACACAAGCAAACCATATAACCTCCCACCCTTCTTTTGTCTGTTTATCTAGAAAGAAACCCATATGCTGATGAAATGCATCCCAACAACTCACCGGCCAGCCTGATTGAACTCCCCACCACTTCAAACACATTCTCCAGATTTTATGTGCATTTTTGCAGTGTAGGAACAAGTGAGTAGCAACTTCTTCCCCTTCTCCACATAAGTCGCATGTAATGTCATTATAGCTCCTCAATACCCCCCTCTTAAATAACTCGATTTTTGTTGGCAATTTATTTTGAATCAATTGCCAAACTAATGCACTAACCTTGCTCGGGACCATTGTATTCCAAACTTTCTTGTAAATTTCCAATTGAAGTCCATTGTATGGTGATGTTAGAAGCTGATAGGCTACATTTGTACAGTAGCCATTTTTTGTGTCAAAGCTCCATTCCCATTTATCCTCTTTCCCATGTATGAGTTGCACTCTAGAAAGGATTCTTCTTAGCTCATCTTCTGTTGCAGCTTCCCATGTCCTCAACTCTAGAGGGGCAGCTAGGGTTGAAAACTGAAAAGCAGCAGATTTGAAATTTCCGAAGAATATCTTGTCCACCTTACCTAATTACTACCTGAAACTACGGAATTCAAGTACTATATATAAGAAATGAATTTTCAGAACCGACCAGATTTGGCGATTTTGCAATTCCAAATCTAGGAATTTTCCATTCCTAAGATTATCAAATTCACTACAAGAAAACCTAGCTTCACCGACCACATATCACCGAGGTAAGAAGTTTTCTCGGTGAAGGATCCTTTTACCGACAAGAGGTAAGTCTGCAACTTGAGAAACAGTAGAAATGGCAGTAAGATATATTATTTATTGTACAGACGTAACACTTGTCGGTAATTTACGGAAATACATACGTGTTACTTGTCGGTAATTGCAGCCTACACTCCGGCCGGTGGGGGAAGGACGGAAACGCACATCACCGACGAGAAGTACGCCTGTAAATTTGGTCAATTGTGCAGTCAAACATACCATTAGAGATGTGAGGCTTGTCGGTAAAATATTCCAAAGTGAATCACGTCGGTGACACTGAAAGGCTGTTGCAAAGCTGCTGCACCTCGTCTCCAACGCCAACCATGATCTCCGATCCCCCGCCCCTCTTGCCTCTCATTTCCGTTGAACCCCCCCTGCCTTCTTTCATTTTCAGCTTTCTCTTACAGCTACAGTTCCTTTTCCTCATTTTTTCGGGCGAGGCAAGTAGCGAGAAATTCAACTTTTTTCTTTTTCACAATTAATAGATCAAGTGGTGGTAAGTGGGGGTTCAAACGTTCAATGATATCACCATTTCTTATCTATTTTTGTGTTATATCCAAATAGGTTATGCATATATATATTTTGTTTTTTTGTTTTTTTTGTTTTTTTTTTTTTTTACGGTTTAGGCCATCAAACAAACTTTTCTAGACATATAAGTGGAATTGCAATTTTAGCCGTACCCTTTAATATTCCAACATGTTTCTTGTCGGTAAATTTAAGGAGGGAAATGCAAAATTTTTGTATTTTTACTTGCCGCCTAAACCGATTTCCTACCTATGTGTATCACGTCGGTAAACTCATTTCCGACGTCATACACATAGCCAAAGACCTCTATATAATACCAAAACTCCAGACCCCATTCATTTTTTTCTTTCCTTCCTTTCTTCTTCTTTCTTCTTTCTCCCTTATCTTTCTCTTCTATCAAATGCTTATGATTTTTCTTGTTTATAATTATATTATATTCATGTTATTTTTTATTTATTTCTTCTCCATATC